CTGTCACGCTGATGATGCTCATCTTTGTAGGTGGTCAGACTCAGTGGACAGGCATCCATGGATCCCGGAAACCCTGACTATCACCTCTGAAGTCTGACCCAGTCCATCCTGAGAAACAACAAGGACTCAATGGGGGGACTCCTGACTCCACCCGTGTTAAGCAAGCGTATCAGTAAATTTCAGAAACGCAACCTTGATGTGTCACTCAAACTCAGTCCCAAACAACCAATACCGAGCCCCTCCCTCTTCGGTCAGGGCAAAGCCCGTTCCAACAGCCTTAAAAAGTCTTACGTTGGGAATATCTCCATACTTATATTGCGATTTATTTTGGAAGGGGCAGGTCTAACGGTGAGAGCACCAACTTGCCCTGACAGAAGCCGAATTCCTTTTAAACATAACTATTCATCAAATAAAGGCATCAAAAAGGATGGATGCTCCACAAAAGCCCAGCTGTTCCACCAATGATACTTACTGCCTTCTGGGTTTAATCAGCTAGCTTAGCTTTTCCCACTATAGCAGGATGCCTCATGGTCAAGACTCGAGAAAGTAATGCTAATGAATCGATCCATTGTCCAGATTAAAGACCCCGCCCACACCAACTAAATTGCCTTGAAATGAGAGTCTGTTTCTCCATGGACGACGTCCACAGCATTTTTCAATTTCCAGATTTAAGGGTTTTATTCTAAAAGAGACGTCGACCTTTACATTTTATAACTCTAAGCATGCAGTTGGATCCCGTGGTAGAATAATCGCAGTGACAGTGTGGCACAGAAACAACCTAATCGAACTAAAAATGCTGAACACTAAATCACAAGCAAGCATATTACCAAAGTGTTTTATCAAAAAGAAGATTAAACATGCAGTTTGACCCTGGAGAAGTAGAAGAATCCCACTAGTACATAAACAATCCTAATCGAACTCCTTTAACACCAACTAAAAAACCAACTCTAAAATCACAAGCAGGCATATTTCCAAAGTGTTTCTGAGTTTTCCTCGGAGGACCCTAGAATTTGACAGGAACACAAGGATATCTCCTTGGAACAACTCCATAAAGACCGGACATCTTGGCTGGATCACATCATAGAATGCTCCTCCTTTCAATCATCTGCATCACATAATCAGAATATAGAGAAAAGTTAGAATGACTTGGGGCATTGTAAAAGTTTTGTTCTAAGGTAGTAAACGTACTCACCATTAGGAGATCGAGAACTAGTTGCAGAAAAGTCTGAGGATGCCATTGGTATGGAAATTGACAGCTGGGTAGTGGAGAATGAGGTCCGATTGGATCTTTCATCCTCAAGATCAGACCACGACTCCCTGGTCTTGGGCCATTCATCAAAGAAGGGACGCAGAGACTGACCTTCCTGTTTCACAGGCTCTGCTGATGCAAACTCACTGCCAAAGAAGCAATGCTGTTGTTGTTGTTGTTGTTGTTGTTGTTTCGAAAATGTTGTTGCTGTAACGGTTGCATGCCCAAGATCTTGCATCGAGTGCATCTGGGGGTAATCACTCTGAAAAATGGAACCATTTCTCATTTTTGATGGAGGAAATGAGGAGACTCTTGATGGCATGAGACGCCATGAGCTGTCTAAAGAAGAGTCCATCCCAAGTCCCCGCACACTACCAGAAGCTTCTGAGAAGAAACTGTGCTCATCAGCCTCTGGTTTCAGTCCATGGAGATACCTGTATATTTCAGTTGATCAAGAAAAGTATAGCCATTTTTTGGTGATCAGCAGCCCAATTGGTGAATTTTCAAGCATAAAAATCTATAAAAATTCAGCGTATGCTTCAAACAACAGTAAGCTACTAATCAAGGAACAACAGATTGTTTCCCAACTGAAGATAACATCACATTAGGTATTGAGTTGTACTCGTAAATTTCTGCAAGGGATTTCTTTTATGAATAAATTTCTGCAAAGGTTTCTACATTTATTTTACTTTTAAGTAAATACAACCTTTTTTGGTAATGAAGTTGATTGACTTCATGATATGGAAAAGGTTAAGTGGTATAAACATCTTAAAACAGATATAATATTAATAAATCTAACAAGACCACATACCACCAACAAACATCTTCCAAATAAACAAAATGGTAATCATATCGTTAATGAACGAAAAATTACAAAGCAGCTAGATGTTAACCAGTGAACTCATAACCACATGTTAACCAGGTAGGCAGGCAAGCAATACAGCTAGATGTGGTATTAGATATGGAATTTACATTAAAATTTAAGTATCTGACACAACTCAGGCCCTTTGTACAGGTATCTGTATCATAGCAGGGAACTGAGGTATTAAAAGATACATGTAAACTAAAGAAGATCGAGCAGGTTAAAGCCTTAGGAAAATGGAAATGGTAACAAGAGACAGCAAGGAATCTAAGAGGTGAAAGCACAAGAAAGATAATTGTAGGATCCAAATGCTCAGTTCCAAGGCACAGGCAGTGTGATGTAGAAAGATGAAATACCAAAAAACAGATTGATGCAATACATCAATACCGTTGAGTCACAAAGTCAGGTAATATGCAGGATGATATTAACTCCTAGTAATTCTTGCAAGATGCCAAGTTGGTAAAGGTGTTGGGTGCAGATRGCCTGATACCACAACCTGGGTTCAAGGCCCATCTCACCATTTATCCCATTGAACCATTAACCACTACATTTTTCTTCCTTTTGTACCCCACAGAATTTGGACTGAGGTGCAAACATGACAAATAGAGAAATATATATTTGCAAAAATGAAAATAATTGACCAAACCAGACAAACTAGAAAAGTCAAGATTCCCATCCCATGGTCTATGAGTTGAAACCTAAGGTGGAAACCAAATTATATGCTCTTTCCCCTTTTTGGTCCCCACAAGCCTGGTAAAAGGAGAACAATCTATGATTGATAATGATTCCACTGTATGAGTGGAAAACAGATCAAAGAATGAATTCATGGCTAATAGCCAGCATTTAAGATACAATGATTTCTTTGAATGAGTGGAAAACAGATCAAAGAATGAATACATGGCCAACAACCAACATTAAAGAAATCCAATTACCATTAAAGAAGTCCAGAACTAGAGATGTATGTAAATACAAATCCAATCAATAAACCACAATATCATGTCATTTTTTTTACACACTGTAAGAAGGAAGGAGATGGCCCTGTAACTTGTCCATCAGCTGGATAATTGTGAGACCAGACAAGTTAAATATTTGAGCCAGGGAATCTTTTAGGCAATGCCCATAAAGTTTTTGTTCCCAACCCTCTATGCAGAGGAATTTGTGCAGTTTGTATTCCATTAGATGGTGAAGTAAGATTTGTATAATTTGGTCCTGCTAAAAACGACTAGGCCAAGCAAGGTATGCTCCATATAATTTCAAACCTACAACTATAAAGCTCCCAGAACAAAATGTTTTCACAAGGCATCCTTCACATAAATCACAATCCCAAATCCAGCCATTTTACAGGCCTTCTGATTCCAACAATCTAAGAGAACCAGGCCACAGAAAAACTCAATGTACTTGACAAATATTTGAAAAAAAAAAGCAATGTCAAAATAGAACACTCCAGCAGAGAATAAAGATGCTCCCCCCATCTGATCACTTTATGCATTTTCTGATATTCTGTGTTTATCTTATGATTTATATTTCATTGTCGGTACAATGTACAAGGAATATATCTAAAGAGGGTAAAGAGGAAAAACCATCAGCCTGGTCAAACCAATTAAGGTTATCAACATGATGTAAATAAATGTATAAATCCAAAAAAAATAAAATAGCTTTCACTCTTCACATTAAAGATATGGACCAATAACGAAGCTTTCTCTGAAAGGAATTTTTAAGGAACTTGGTACAGTAAACCTCTCTGAAAACTTAAATGATTTATAGCACTGAATTCAGGGACAAACTGACAGTTTTCTTTCTGCAACAGGTTACAGGTAATTCTTCTAGAAGTCCAAAAGTCTACCCTTAAAACCTTTGCCTTTTGACAGACATTGAACAGGCTAACTAACGTGCCAGTTAGCAGCATGGCAGGATATCTTCCAAAGGTTGTCAGATCTCTGAACCCACTTCCAGATAGGGAACAGAAAACCAGGAACCAACAGAAGTTACAGAACACAAGACTTTCAAAACAAACACGCTCTGCAAGGGGGGGGGGGCGAGGGCAACAGATTTTGGCATATGATGGTGAAGGAACTAAAGGTATCATATAAACAGGGGCCCAAAGACTCAGAACAGGCTAAAATGCCCAAAGTTAACAAAAATGCACTGCCTAGACGCCAAGAGATCTCCACACTTTACCTAATCAACCACAAAGATGGGCCCAAAAATCAAATACAGACCAGACAACAATAACACTTTGAGTGTCCAAGAATTCTTCAAGGAAACAATGCAGTTAACAAATCAACATGCCAGATTTGAAACAAAATCGGATTCTAACAGTACAAAGGCTTGTTTAGCAGGTACCTACTGCGATACAAGTACCTGTAATCTTTGTTGCCGATTCCATAGGAGATGGGTTCAATCTGCAATGGAGTTGAGTTCCCAGAGCAAGCGCCCTGAGGATTACTGATGGAATGTAGGGGCAGGTTCTGGAAGCTCCCACTGCCTACACTGCTACCAGTTGCAGTGGCAGTGAGCGATGTTACAGTCGACGAGGACTGAGAGATAGTTTGCGTTTCCACAGGCTTTCTTGAACGGTTTCGGCCACGATGCATGTGCCGCTCACAATACTTTGAATCCGGGTAAGCGTCCTTGGAGCACCTCCACTTCTTGCCGTCTGTCCTCCGGCACCTTCCCGGCTCCGGGTCTGCCTTCTTCCCATAGAAGGAACAATAACCCACTGCAAAAAATAAAGCATACTCGAGATTGATAAATGCCTCTTCTAGAAATGTAGAATATTAAGATGCAAAAACACGTTTAGATTTTCCTGATACATTGCAACTGCAGAAAGATCAAATCCAATCTCTTCCCCCAAAAGAAATATTAATTTGGTTTCCTTGTGCTTCTGCTGATCGCAAGTTTCTATGAAATCACAATGATATCTTTCATAAACAAAACACCCAATCGAAGACTTAATTCCCAAGAACGAAAAACAAAGCTGTCATTAATTTTTCTACTGCAGAAATCCCAAAAAGAAAGCGGGACGGAAAGATGTGTCGGTTCGAGATGAATGGGCTCCAAGCCTCCAAACCATTAAAATCAAAATAAGCTCTAAAACATCCAAAAATACTTGATAAACATTTGAAGAAAAGCAGATGAAGAATCAATAAGCGAAGAAATAAATCGAAGATGATCAAGCAACCATGAAAGAAACCACCGATCAATATCATCCCAAAAACACTAAATATGCATCCAAGAAAGCTAAAAAACTCACACAGAAATCCCCAACAACGTACTACAAGAAAGAAACGAGAAACAAAATCAAGACAAAAAAGAAAAAGGAAATGAAGAACATTCATGAGCCAGAGATCGTCCTTTCTTACTGCTGGGATGATGGAAGAACCTCGCGGACATGGATTCGAAGCTCTTCCGGATAGGATGCACGAGCTCAGGAGGGACAGGCAGTCCCGCCATTAAATACTTAAAGATCAAAGCTTGATGCTCGAGCTCCTGCCACTGCAACGCCGTGAACGGCGGCCGCACTCCGGTTGCCGTCAACGCCGACGTGCTGTTCATCTCTTCTACCTCCTCCTCCTCCTCCTCCTAGGGTTTCCAACCAATCCCTCACCCAGTAAAAGCTGCAACAAAAAACAACCCCCAGCTCCAGCTCAGACATACCCCAGAACACAGCAAAACCGCTGTCGCAGAACGAATATGGCAGTCTCCTTAGAGTAGCACTTCGCCATTTCTCGCACTAAAAGTGAGTATGTGAACAGGGCTTTTAATGTTTTACAAGCTTTTACAAAACCCTAGAAGATCTATCTATCTCAGTGTTCTTCTGTTCACCAGATATTTATATATCTGACCCTTGTTCTGCAATCTGCTCCTGCTTCCTTCTGCTAAGTTTCGCGGAACTTCTGCTATGTTTAGTGGAGGATTTCTCGGAGGCGGTGGTCTCTGTGTGTGTGTGCTAGTGATTAGTTTTCTGGTGCGCTTGTGTATGTGTGTGTGCGACTGTGTGTGAGTCTCTCCTCTGTCTCTCTTCTGTCTGCAGCTGTGTGTGTGTGTTGGGAAAGGAGGCAGGCAGTATCTGCTCAGAAGTGGAAAATTATAAAGGCATTGCCAAAATCTACCCCCCCCCCCCCAAAATTTCTGCCTTTTTCTTCTATTTTCTTCCCATAATTTTATTTATTTATTTATTTAATCTTTTCTTTAATTAATTTTTCTTAAATGTTTGATTAATCTCGGAAGACCACATAGTCTTCAATTTGTCCTGGCAAGGACAGAAAAGCTACCTCATTCACCATCCTTCTCCCCGAGTCCTGAGTCCTGACCCAAAAGATTTGATTTGATACATTTAAAGCCCTCTTAGTTGGATGAGTCTATGGTGAATTAATTGGTGATGAATTTGAAAAGGGTTTTCTCGTCCAAAAAAAAAACTTGTGGGACGTTCTTGTTTTCGAAGATTTATGGATCGGATGGCTGATATTCTTCTGATTTAAATATGGCAATGGGCCTTGGATGTATGGTATATATCTCTTCAGTCCTAACTAATTTTATGTTTCTTCGGGGTATGGGATATTAGGATGTAACCTTAGAAGCTTCATAATTGCAAAAATTTGAAGAAAAAATGTAAGATATAAAACGGGCTATAATTTTATCATGCCTAATGGATCTCTAACCCCACAATGTAATCTGATGGAAAGTTTCTATCCGTCAAATAAGTATAATAGGTATTAGGTAGGAGTTGACTGTTCAGATACTAATTTTGTAAGTGGGAGCATTTGGGTTAATAAGTAAAGAATCGGTAGTAGTTGTGATAATACGAAAATAGATGTGAGGGGGAAGCAAGTAGAAAGGACGAGCTAGAATTAGGGAAGGAGTTTCCTCAACAAGATTCCTTGGCTTTCACAAAATTAGCGGTGGCGACGACTTTTGATTTTACTTGTTTACCCGTAAGGTTGTTTGTGAATTACAACCATGCCATGCGCATCGTGCATTACTTGGAAACCAAAGTACATCTCCAACCAGTCCGGCTCGTCCCCTGAGAACCGGGCCTAATCAACCGGCGCATAAATGACAGGTTATTTAGCATAACGGAATCTGATGACGATGGCCTGCCTAAGATGTCACTTCAAAACAAAAGTTAATTAGCATTGATTTTCTCTATATAGTTTAACACAAGGTTTAAATTGTCGATTTTTTTGGTAATTAAGGTTCAAATTTTTGATTGGTGATTGATATTCCTTTTTATGGAATTTTAAGAAAATCTATTTTTAATAATTAAATCACATAAAAAGGGCCCCTCTAAAATTTAAAATAAAAAAAATTAAACTATGTATCAAGAAAATAAAAAAAAAATGTAAAGCATGAGGTAGAGGTTCAAATATTGATACACTCCTTTTGGCAATATAGAAGGCTGAAATAGAGTTCAGAAGGCTTTGTTTACTTAAATTAAGGTGTTGGTGTTTTTTTTTCTTTTTGCATTGAAAATTTTCCATAAAAAATAAAAGAAGAAAGAAGAACAATAATACTTTTTTAATTCATTCTTGTTATTTGGTTATCCAAAAAATAAGAAATGAAAAGTAAAAATACAGAAAAATCTAAAAAAAAAGTAAATTGAAATGCAAAAATAAATAAAAAAATTGATATAATTTCCTTTCGCTTTTCTATCCTCTTGAAATTCTCTCTTGTCTTGTTGAAATTGTTAAAAAAAACTTTCTCTAGGCTTTGTCTTGGTTCTTGCATATCTCAAATGTCACCAAAAATTGAAACATTTTCATTGATTTATTCTATAAGAGATACCTACAACCTAAAATTCTAGCCTCAAAGCCTCAACTTAGCCTAGCATTTTTAAAGATAACAAAGGAATGAAGGAAGGTTGAAGAAAAAGAGAGAAAGAATTCCAATTCCATGAGAAGATTTCACTTTGACTACTTTTGCATGCAATGCTTGTTTCTTGAATAGGGATTGCACATGTCTCTACAATGCCCAACAATTTTGAAAAAGATAAGAAACAGAGAATTTGTGGTACTAAACACAGCTGAATGCCAAGATTGGATTCTTATAATTGGCCCCATAACTTAAATGATGATAATGGTGACCATGTTAAAGAAAAAAATGAGAGACTTAGTCACTTAGAGGAGATACCCACACACATCTATACTATTTTTTGACAAAGTAAAATCCATACATGAGGGTTCACATCTCAAATACAAAAGGCTGATTACCTAGAGTTGGTCCTGCCAAGGTTCAAAACATCGATACGCCCAATATACATCGGGCGAATCGAAATGCATTTTTATACTTTTTTTTTTTTTTTTTTTGCGCACTCAATTCAGGGGGGCTGGTTTAGGTCTCCTCCACCCCTGAATCAGTTAGACTCTCGATATATCCACTGTAGAGGCATATAAAGGGGTCCCAAAACAATACGTATCGATTGATACGGGTTAATACGTGTCTATACTTTGAACTTAGGTCAGTGTCACATAAAAAAAAAAGAGGTAAAACTAGGGGCAATTTTAGAATAATGTTAATAATGATTATATATAACAATAGAAGTAAGAGAATCTAGAAACCAAACCCCGAACATTACATAAATTTCTTAGTAGTGGCCCTGGGTACATGTATCTGTCCATCTATATCTATTATGTATGTACAATTATAAAGAAAGAAAGAAAAAAAAAAAAAAGGCAAGAAAGAGAAGACATGCATCCTAGGATGGGGGTGAGAAGATGATGAACAATATAGCAATCATTTGTCCGGTTCCCGGTTGCTCCTTTGGACCGCACCCATAAAGCATGGCTTAGCTGACACTCTTTCTGTCTGTAGACAATCAAGGGTCCCCTTTCTCATCCTCTCAACATCGCCAAGTCCCACCCCCACTCTTTTTGGCCTTTCAACAAACACATCGTCCTCATACTCTCTCTCCTCTTTTCCTTTTGTTCCAATTTTTCCAACCAAACTTCTATTAATCTCCATCACAAAAAAATAGTATATAATAAAAAAATAAAAAAGGCACCCAAAAAAAAGCCATAAAACCCAGCAAACAACTCATCCAAATTCCAAAACCCTAACCCTAACTTAAAACTTTAACTTGCTTAAGTTGTTTCCTGCCCCACATCCACCTACTGCTTCCCCTTTAACTGACAGCAAGCACACGTGATGGGCTGGATTGAGACCACCCCAAAACCGCCTTAAAAACCGCCACCGACCTCATCCCTATATGGTTTTGTGTTTCTTTGAACCAAGCGAGCGGTTTCCCGGTGGCCGGAATCTGGCACTCTCCGGCCGCCAGGGACCACCGCTTGGGCCTTGGCGGCTTGGTGGAAGAAACGGATAAATGCTTTGGGGGGATATCTCTTTTTATTTTATTTTATTTTATTTTATCGTAAAGTTGAAATATGGAATAAATACAAGGTGCGTACAACTGTACCTGTTACCAGTACTGACCCTGGCCGTAGGATCAATTTGTTCGAACGGTCCACAACAAAGGGAAATGGCAGTACCAACCGGTGGGGCCTACAGGTTGGATGGTCCAGATTGAAAAGAATATGAACATAGACCCAAAATAGTACAGCTTAACGGTACTGAACGTTCTCATATCTACCCTCCTCAGTCCTCAGTCCTGACGTCCTCCTGATAGGAGGTGAGGGTTGGCAGCTTAGCATGGTAATGGTAAGGCGCCACGTATTGGACACGGTCGGTCTTTACTCTTTAGTGAGTGTGTGTGTTTGTGTTAACAGTGGGGCCCATTCCATGGGTGGCCCCCACCCCATATACCCTATTCGTCCATTCGATCGGCATCTTGTTTTCGACATGGATCATATCATCATATAATTAGGCTATTATGGTGGGGAGATAAGCTATAGCTAGGGTGATGAAGTAGGGCTAGGACTTATTAGGAGAGGACCCTGAGAAGAACTCAACCAATGAAAATAAGACACGTGTATCATGGGGGGGGGACCCACTTCACGGACCACCTATCGCTTGGTCAGGCCACGCCACCACTGAGACTGACCACCCATCACCCATGAGGCCATGAGCTTTAATTGTTCATCGTCTTTTTGGGTGGTGTGGTATCAGCATCACAAGGCATAGGGGTGGCCATATGTCCTAGGAAGGGAGTTAGGAGAAGGTGCCTTGCCCTAAATCGCCAGGTGTCCTATACATAGGCAACCCACCCTTCAATACGGCCTAGTGAGTAGTGGGAATGCCTATAACGCTCCTATAGACTGATGAGATGCTCGGACCAAGTGTCAGCCACTCATCTCTCACCTTTAAAACTTCTAATTTGTGCATCATTTGGATATCAACTCTGCACTACAACAATTAGATGTGCAGATTTGGGGCTTATCCATTGTCCAGGGTCCCGTGGCCGTGAGCGCCGGGCCGAGGACTCCAAATTTCTTTTGGCCAGGTTTACATACATTCTCTGGACCAATGCTGACCGACTGACTCCATCTCCATGTAGTAGTAAATAAACAATCCATATAATTGGGATAATGCTTTGTTGGATTGAGTGTTAGATTTAGAACCGACAGCATAGTTACATTCAAGAATCGGATCTCATTAAATTATCTAGTTTAATCTAAGTGGCCGATTAACTGATAAAACTATACCCTCTATACTTTCAACTTTAAAATCTCCTTCAAAAAGAATAGCCCATTAATAATTTTCTCCAACTCCTTTTTCCATATTAGACTATGTTTGGTTTGAAAGGAAAAAATAAGGAAAGATAGAGAAGCTTTACAAATCTTATATAGGTTTTCTTACATTTCCTTCCTTACTTTTTCATTCAAACCAAACATAGTATAAAGTGTCGATTGCAAGATTTAATTTTGTATTAATATTTGAACAAACCAACTAATACACCAACGAGTCAGCCCTTGATAGATATTATGAGAGTGTTTGAATGTACTAAAGATAGAGTACCTTGAGCAATAAATTATATGGGACCATTTTGACATTAAATACAACACCTATATCCTATTGGCTTGAAAATTTTGTTATGAATTTTTGGGATTCAGGAATCAATTTTTTGACCCACTAGGCACTAACAGGGGGTGCCAACTGATGGTGGCTCAATTGGTAGGTTCTTTGACTCGTTGGAGTAGAG